ATATACCTTTAGTGGAACTCTGAAAACCTGTCACACTTGCTAACATATATTGGATATTTAGGTTTCTAAAGGTCTTCAGGGCACAATATTATCGACAAATAGGAAAAAATGCCGAAAGACAATACCCTAGCGTAAAAGAGCAACAGAGACGTTTTAGAAAGTTTTTAGATTTAGCTGAATCACAGCCCCTAAAAACCTATTGCATGCAGCTTTATCTTCTTCCTCCTTTAGAGGATAAATTTGCTATGAGGCTGAAGAATAAAATAAAGAGAAAATGCACGAAAAGTAAGCAAAATATGCTTATGCTTTTGGGGATAAACACCTCATCAAGAAATAGTGCAAAGTCATCCACTACAGAAACGCCCTCTTTGTTGTCGATGATGTCATTCCGAAGCTAAAAAAGGAGGAAAAGGTGGAATAAACAAGAAATAATTTTTCGTGATAAAATTCTTCTATCGTAGGCGCGATGCTGAATGCAAATTTAATTTCATAGCACCCACTGGGAATAGCTCTCAAAAAAGGCAGAAAATTTTTTTTTCGACCAGAAAATATCTTAACGTTTAAAAAAAGCGTGCACACATCTGACTTAAGTGCAGGACGAAGACGAATATTTCGGTTTTGCCCTGAAAAGGAATTTGTCGGCAAACACTTTTAACTTGTATACCTATAGTAAGCTAAAATTATTTTCGTTAGAACTTTATACCCTTCGGGTATAATTAGCTCAATGAAGTGCTCCAGCTTTCTTACTTAACGAAAAAAATCGATTTTACCGAGTGACGCACACGTTGGAATGAATGTAGACATTATGTTGCCTTATTTGTACGGCTGTATATTAATATGTGATACGGCTTACAAAAGATTTCCAAACGGTGGCATATGGATAAGAGTTCGAAGGTCAAGCAAATTTCCAAAAGAATTTGCTCTTTGAATTGTGTTCAATTTACTTAGCATATTTCCCATACTTCCATCAGTCTGCTCACAACTGCATATGATGCTCTTGCGTTTGAATTTCGAAATTTAAATCGGAAGTCTTTCGTGTCAAAAAGTTTGTTTCAAAATTTGCCGAAAGTTTCAGGTTTTCTAATAAATTACATCTGAAAAATGAAACACCTAGGAAAAGTCAGTGCAGGAATGACATTTGAATGCTCGGCAGTTTAGTTAACACTTGAGCATATAAATATCCCGCGAAATGAAGCTTAATTTTACGGAACGGTCGTTTGTTCTTAAAAACTTGTGTTGAGGACTGTGCATTATTTGCTAGCCTCCCCCTTTAAGCAGAACGAAATGAAAGTCAGTGTAGGTTCCGAAGCTTCAACAGGGAACACTTTGAGTTGGGATATAAATTAAAAATTCTTTTTCATCCATACCAATTCAAACCGTACATTTGCGTGCCATTATGAGGGGGGGATGAGAGAATACGTCGTATTTTGAACGAAAAAACATTTCAAAATTTTCGACGAAAACATTCCTCCATAACCGTGGCTAGGGTACAGAGGAGCGGAAAAATTTCAATATTAAACAATTCGATTATTATGGCCAAGAGTCGAATCCCGGTCACCGGATTTCAAATCATGTCCATAACACCATGGCTAATTGCTGATACATCGATGGCCACAGGAGGTAGATTGGGAGTGACGCCGGGTCGGAGGGGACGACTTCGTGGCAAATATGTGAGAATCAATTGGGTGAGCAGTGCTATCGGGATTTAAATTGACCAGTTGTTCGACCACTGTGAAATGCCGTCATAAATAAAAAACAACCTTCCTTAGAGATTAATTTTTGTTTGCGGTATACATGAGTATACCTAATGTGTATGGGCATAGACCAAAAATGTAACTGCATATTTGGATTGAACCCCGTCGACTACTGCGTAATATACAGCTGCTACCAACGGACAGACCGTACTATTATATTTTGATACTGAACTTACCATATTAACAGTCTAAGTACTAGCTAAAAGGGCCAGGCACGTATTTTGCCGGTATTCTGCGCTGCACGGCACAGCTGCGAGGGGTCCGGCTCATCAGAGGATCCTCCAGATTTCCCTGTTTGCTTTCTGGTTGATATGCCGGTTTTGAAAGTTCAGCTCTTTAATTTCCTTAGAAAGTAGTTTCTGTTCGCGGTATACATAAGTAATATCGTAGCAAATATAAAGCGCTCAGTCTGGTGAGAATAAAGTTCAGGTTCTTGGCGTTCTATCAGATGCCCTTTTATACTCCGAGCAAGGTATAATCGCTGCAGGTAACCAGTTACACACAAACTAATGATCGGTGTGTGTGATTAAGAAATTAGGCTGGATAAGCGTATGATCATCAAATGTTTTGTAATCGAGCATACAAAAAGTTTAGCGATGTGTCATTTTAAATCCTTCGATATAGTAAATTTGAGCGGACTGACTGAACGTCCAAGAGATTCTAGCAGATATAATCCATCGTTGATTAGAAATTTTTGGCATGATTTTTCCAAACCGACAGCACTGTCTTGCAGACTAAAGCGTAGATGAGAGAAGGATCTATTTTAATCCGCTATTTTAACTCAAACAGGTGCCCTGTCACGAAAGCTATGATATTGAACATAGAAGGCTAACATACAAAATGGAATCATCTTTCAAGGTAAGGCAAGGAATAAGGTTACCTGCAACATATCAGGACTCATTGCGGCCTCGATATCTATCAGATCTACGTCCACAAAGTACGAAGACATGCGACGCTAAAACAAAAACGTTAGATGTACATAGCAATATCTCGAATGCTTTCTAGTTCTGCTAAGGGAACTTAATTTATATAAGAATGAACGGTGAAACTGAAAATGTGGACTCAACTCTAGGACGTCATACTGGGTTGGACCTTTCATGGCGTGCACTTAATTATCATACAAGGGCCCACTGTTTTAACAAACAAACTCTCTTAAATCTGTTTCGAACACATGAAAACGTTCTGTATTCAAATAAGCTAACAAAATTTAAAAACAATTTTCTGAAGTATATTATACTTTCGGAGTGTCCCTGAAGGCAGGAAAAGTCCATGAAAGAGCCACAAGTAAAAATTTTCTGTACTGAAGGTTGACATTTTCCAGTGGAAAAAACTTACATATGATTTTAATAAAGGATGAAAAATCACATAGCCGTTGTTGTCCAAGATGAAAGCATAGTCTGTCGGGCTATTCTAAAACCACAAAATTCACAAAGTTTATGCACAAATACACAGGTATTACGCAAGAGATTTCAGAATAAGACAAAAAGAAGTCGGCCTCACGATATATGTTTGCAGAAGGTCCACCATTTCCCTCCCCGAAACGTCTGTTCCCATTATGCCCAGCAGGTTGAGTGACCCCTTTAAGAAAAATAAAACAGCAAGCATTACGGACCCTGAGCAAACAAGCTGCATCAGACGCTGACGAATGATTACTATTAGCCAGGTCTAAGTAATCCGGAACTATTAAGGACACTGCCTTACTGAAGGAGAGGAATTATTACCTCGGTTTTAAAAATGTAGCTTCTTGGACGCAGAATCTAAGAGTCAGGAGAGATTTCGAAAGTATGAAGACTTTGCAACGAGATCTGCTCAAGAAAGACGGCCTAGACTTACAGAGGAGATAATAGAATTTCATGGATACAACGATATACTTCCTGTAATTTTTTAATTAAATTTTAATTTCAATTTAAGTTCGACCGCAATTTCTTATAATTATCTGACCTGTTATGAACCCTGTGTAATCTATCATATTTACGCATCGTTCTGCAGCTGAATGACGCCATCAATATTTATCTCAGGGGACCAGTTTAATCAGTAACGAAAAGACCTTAAGTTATCATAAAAAGGTGAAAAGCGCTATCAGAATGTCCTCTCAAGGTTTTCACCCACCGTTCTGTTGTAAACAGCCAATGTCAGGCTCGCCATTGGTCCAATTTTCTAAAATGAGATATAACCAGATAGACTGTTTCCCATAAGCAGATGAAATAATAACAGTAACCTTGGAAAAATACTTTGGCATCCCAGGGAGGCCTGAAATTGAGTAGGTAAATGCCCTGAGCATGCTTTTTGAATAAAAAACATGGACAACCGAACGTGAGCTACGGTTGTTCAATCAGTCCGCGCGGATGCTGACGGAAGGATGCATGCAGGGAGGCGTAGACAGGGGAAGAAGAGACGGGGGTAGAGGAGTTCGCTTGCCACACGAAGCTCAACCTCATCTCCTGCGAAGACAATGGCTCTCAGGCACAATGCAACAGAGTGAAAGTGTAATTGGCATGACCAGTTTGAAACGCGATCAGGGGGTTTTAGCAGGCAGTCAAGAGTCAAAAGCAATGCGTGTAGCAGATTCAACATATAGCTTATCAGTACTTCGGCGATGGTCGTGGGGAAAATGTCAGCAGCTTGGTGAACCACCAATTCCATCTTTTGTGCCTTGTTATATCGGATTGGCCTTCGAAGCTCCGCATTCTCGGTGAAATGCTAGACAGGCGACAAGAAATACACAATTTCAGTCTCCAAGGAGCACTTTGAATGGCAGCGGGACTCTGTCTGTGTTTAAACTTACCGACAGAATATTCGACATCGCTCCGATCACAGGTATGTGTGCGAATGTGCCTAAACACGCAACAGCAGTTAGAAGGAATGGCGCGTTTAGAAGCAATTCAGACTAACCGATCAAATAAAATAAGCATATAAAAATATTCCCCAGAGTACAGCGCTGTTAATAGATCTCTATGAAATAAGTAGTGTTTAGTCTGTCTTTTCTCATTTCTGCCTGAAGAGCAGAACAAATGAGAACTCGACTTCGAAATCAGTCCAGTTAAAAGAGTAAAAGAGGAAAAATCCTACCAAAATATAAAAGAAAAATAGGTATACTAAAGGTTCAGTGGGTTCTAGAATGCATTATCAATAAAAAAACTATTTTCGTTAGACTAGACAGATTTTACAGACCAAGTCTCAAGCCACCAAAAAATAAACTTTCAAGTTTATCTTCAAAAGTATACAATTGTATAGTGTTTTTGCAAGGGATCTGAGCGCAAATATCTTTTTCTTACCATTAATTTCCCTTGCAAGTTTATCCAGCAGTCCAGGAGCGGTCAGAGTCGACAACGAGTAGGTGAACAAGCGAACCTTAAATAGAAATAGGACATGGATTTAGCACCTAACAAAACGTCTACACTGCTGGCGGAAAATATCAAAATGTTCGGCACTTTCGTACATAATGGCGGTATTTTCGGAGGGCTTGGACCGTCGTTTCATTGTAGTATATGTCACCATCGCTGATTAAAACGAGGATTCTGTTGCAATGGGCTGCGGGTGACCTTCCACTTGAGAACTAAAGTTAAAATACAACTTAGTAGTAACTTTGCAGTAGGGAGCCTTGGCGAGGTCATGTTAGAGCATCATGGTGGAAGAGTGATAAGTGACAAGAGCCGCTTTCTTGGAAGGCAGTTTGAGGACAAAGAAAAGCGTGAGATAGTGCAACAGTTTATGCTTGAAAGAGAAATTTAATAATGGAATAGAAGAACGCCTTCTACACTATAACATAGCATAGCATACAGTGCTCATTAATTTCAACCCGAAGAATATCGCCTCGTCGTAGTTTGCGCCATTTTCAGCCACGAGGCGAAAAACGTTCTGGATCGCGTGCTGAAAAGGCAAGATCAGGAAGGATTAGTTGAGAAAAAAGGTGAAATGAATTCAACTATTTACTAGCTGTTCATAAATATAATAAGAACCTGCTTATTTTGACCTGTAGCCTGGACCAGGAGGTTGTAACAGGACTCGTTCTGAGAACAGCCGTAGAGCAGTGTGGGTGCAGGATGGTTCCTGTCCGCGGGAAACTAAAAGAACCAAAAAAAGTGTCGTTGATAAAAACAAGATTAGTATTACTTAAGGAATAGTTCTATGATTCCTGTTCGTTTTCCTACAGCGAGTTTCATATAAAAGGCCAGAAGTTTTTGGTAATGCAACATGGAAACTCAACAAAAAATTCAGCTGTTCTAATGCTTGTGCGACTAAGAGGTGAAAACACATTGATTCGATAAGGCTACAAAACGAAAAATCTAATTTGTATCGAACGTGCCAGTTAGTCGTATTAAATGCTGAAAGGATAGAAGCTACCTTTGCCACAGCGAAGAAGTCGTTTCTGTTCAGATTCTGAATCAGTAATCTGAGTGAGGTATTCACCAGGTGCAGGGCTTGGCCGTGCATGCTTCCACTCCTAAAAAGTCAAAAGAGTGAGGAATGTTATATGTCAAGGATATTAGTACAAGCTTTTTTCTGATCGCTCACATTTCAATATGTAGGTGAAAACGTGTGATAAGTAAATATAACTCCTTTTGAAGGTTTTTAAGCGAATTAAAGATGCAAAAGCAAATCTATGCGTTGACTATGTAGGTCCAGCCTAGTACTTGATAGTATTTTAGTAGAGAAGTGCCAGTGAACCGGGATAAATAAGCTGCCATAGCATATTATCATCTGATTTGTGAAAATGGCCACGAGATCAGACTGCCATGTAGTATCAGAAGGTTTACACATTTCTTTCAGGAAGCTCATAACGTCTGCGATGCAGAAACTTCTGGGGGAGGAGGGGTGTTTCGAAAAAGCGTGATAGAACTCGTGCGAAGCATTTCAATTCGGAAGCGCTTAAAATTTAAGCATTTTATGTAAAAGGCGTGCGACTTGAGGGAGGGCCGAAGTTTAAAGGTGGGCTTTTCACAATTGGTTTGCAACGAAACCTATAAGGTAGTGTTCACTTTATAAGGTGCCCTGGAAGTCAAGCTTCCTTTTAGTGACTGTTGCTGTTGGAATGGACCAAAGAGTAGCCGATGGGGGCTGAATTTAACCACCTTACGGAACAAATTCGTCCTGTTTTGCCTTTGGAGTTCACGCTTGAGGCCTGCTAGCAGTCGTACAGTTACTACTAGTACAGACAAAATAATGGGTACGGCGTTTAGCTTCTAACTAACAGATTGCGGGTTTGAACTCCAGGTGATGCAAGATCTGGGGTTGGATATTGCTGGCTGATGACGGTTATTAAGCCAGAAATTGCCATTTCGATCTCCCCTGTCTCTGTTGGCAGTGTTCCTCTACCTATACTAGTGGCCGCTGTGCGGCTGCTGCTGGGGCTCAAAATTGAGCCCCAAGACAGAACGGAGCGAGTGAGTCTCGTTAACGACCGTTGAACATTCATCAAAAAATGCCAATATTCCTGAACTAAATCAGCAAGCCAACGAGGCTGGGGGGACAGTGGGTTAGAACATTAGCCTTCTAGTCGAGAGGTCGTAGGCTCGAGTCTTGGGTAGTGCACCACCTGGAGTTGGGTATGCCTGGCTGATAATGACTAATAAGCCAGAAATGGTTATTTCAGTATCTCTTGCCTTTGACAGTAATTCATCATCAGGCAAAACAATATAAGGGGGGGTAGAGTTAACGAAACAGTCAAACAGTGACGAGGCTGCGACAGCATGCATCCCCAGGCCACTCACGCCGTCACGAGACGATGACACCTCACGTCCTTACACCTTACAAAACGAGAGCCAAGGACGACGGAACGACAAGAACTATTTGTTGGACCCCCTCTCCTCCCCTCCTCCCCCACTCTCTCCCCTCTCTGGTCCCCAATTAAGACTACAATCTGACCCCTTTGATCCCTTTACACATCTCTCTCCTTTCCCCCTAATTACTACTGATTGGTTGTTTCAACTTTCGTTAACTCTACCCTCCATTATATTACTGTACATGCCTGATGATGAATTAATCGAAAACGTTCGTTCGTCAGTTGCAAGGTGTCAGTAGCAGCACCTTGCAACTGGCTCACACTTATCGCTGATGTT